TTGCTCAAAGGCTTGTCGTTGCTCAGGGCCCCACATAAACTCATTTTTCTTTCGAGTCACTTCATAGAGAGGTTTCACAATCTGGCTATAACCTGGAATATGCATTCTCCAGAAACCCACAGCGACTAAAAAGGTTTGTGTTTCCTTTTTGTTAGTAGGTGGGGACATAGCTGTTATTTTGTTAATCACATCCATTGGGATCTGGTGATGCCCATCTTGCCACTTAATTCCCAAAAACTGGATGTCTCATGTAGGTCCATTGACCTTACCTCTTTTTACAGCAAAACCTGCTTTCAAAATAATCTTGATTATTCTCTTTCCACCTGTCACTCCAGAAATAGTGACAGATTCTGCCCCTTTATGATTTGATGGCAATAGGGTACACTGTACACCAGTGTCCACCAGGGCTTTATACTTTTGTGGCTCTAATGTACCAGGCCATGGAATCCACACAGTCCAATAAACTCGGTTTTCCCTCTCCTCCTCGTGGCTGGAGGCAGGGCCCCTCTAATGTTGAGCATAGTACCTATGATTAGCAGATGAGTTCCTACCCAGACCAGAGGATTGCTCACCATAGGTCAGAGCAGCCTTCCTCCTGGAAGAATTCTTTCTTCTATCTGTTTTACCTTGCAACGCAAGCACACATGCCTGTAGGTCCGAGGTAGGTTGTGCATCCCACTTTCTAAACTTTCCCCAGGTAAGACCAAAGGTGTAATTAGCAATAGAATCCATCATGTGATGCCCGAGATATGTAGATACAACCGTTATCCAAGTGATCATATTATACATCTGTATTGCAAACCACACCAGAATATCATGTTTAAACCACCACATACGAACACAAAGAGCAAATAAACCATGCAACACATTCAGCAAGTTAAGCAGAGTTTCATGAATTAACTTTAAACAAAGCTCTCTAAAGACACAATATAACATTTCGCTTAAGAACGACATGATTTAAGCTGTGTCTTTTAATCTCTGAGCAAGCTGGAACCTGAGAGTCCTAATCCCATCCCCACTCTCCCTTTTGCCTTGAGGAGAAACTGATTATTCCAGTGCAGATTGCATCTCCTATTTGCTAGCTCACTTTTGCTGGTTAGCAATGTGGGAAGAATCTTGAGGCTTTTCCCTTGTACCTTCTTGCTTCTCCTGCCTTTCTTTGGTGGAAGTACTGGACACGCAGCTGGTACTTCTGCCTTCCCACACACTTACCATGAGGTGGGGAGCCCAAATTTAGGAGGCAGCAAATGGATAATTTTCTTCCTGCTTCAGCTATAAATAGTCACAGTTTATTTTAAAAAGAATCATCATTAATGTTTCTTCCTACTGAATTTTGTTTCAAAGATTGCTTTCTTATCTGCTTTTCCTATCTTCCTCACACCTTCTTCAACTATTTAGGACTTCAGCATGCATTTGACAGTGACTGGGAAGCTGGGAAAATTACTTACAACAATTATAGAAATGGATCCGACAGTGCTGTTCTGGCTTACAAACTCTTGGTGCAAACAGGCAACCGAGCAAAGCCCATTGACATCAGCCAGGTACTGTATCAGAGTCTATACAGGAACGCACAATCCATCGTGAGTTGGGGGAGATGCAAGGAGCATGTCATAGCCTCTTTTTTCAAATTGATGAATTGAAGTTCCTGAGTTGTACCTAATTGCATAGCCTCTCTGACTTTGCTTGAGCTACATGTTA